CATCGTATGTTATACAGACTCGAATGGGAAGATATACGTAATTATGACTGATAACAATTGAAGAACATGGTAGCCTCTTTTAAAGAAGGCACTACTCTACAAATACTTGCCTTGAGATGCTGAGGAAAATCATGAGTGAACTCAGTTGATAGTTGATCTAAGTGCTGAGAAACATACCCTTTAAATTCTTCTTTCTTTCTGAACACTTACTCTTTGCTGCGTACATGGCAGCCTTATTAAAACCTGCACTTAATTATTAATTAAAGTAAGCAAATAAGTAACCTACTACATGGAGCAGAATCCTTCTTTAGAAGGTAATAGTCGCTTAGCTAGTCAAATAATTCATGACTCTATCTACGTCCGAGGCCCTGTGTAACATTTCGTAACAGGCTGCTGCTTACAATAAGGAATACTTAGTCCCCCGAACCACCCTCTGTCGGTTGTCCGCGACTGCTTATTCTCTCACAGCTTCCCTTCTTATCTGAAACCTCCTCCTCCATCCCTCTTTTGAGGACGCATCGCGCCGTGACGCAAATGCGCAAATAAATAATTTAATTAAATAATGAAGCTTAATAGAAATTACAACGAAATAGGAAATCCGGTATTACGTTCCAAGCCTCATTACCTGAAAACCCTAGACGAGAGGGTGACAAAAGTCGGCCGAGGAATTTCTTAGTTTCGTCAGCATCTACAGTTCTGTATTCCATTATTCTACGCGTATTAAATAATATCTTATCCCACAGCCATACGGATCATTGGCAATACATAAGAACGTTAAAACGGCCTTGTTAGGGTCCAATGACCCGTTTAGGTACAAGAACCTCTCAAATCTCGCAGCCCGGTCGAAACTGTATCATACTTTACCGTCGTCACGCCTGGTCTCCATACCTTTCGGACGATGACTTGAACCGTAATTTAGCAACTTATTCTCAGACTAACTTGTTCGTTGGGCGTGTCTGCTTGCATCTGAAAGGTGTTTTAGACATTCTTATAGAGCAAATAAAAGCGAATTGCTATCCTCCTGTTGCGCACTTAGAACAAGGCCTGAAAGAAAAATGCCAACTTGAAAAGAAAATGCAAGATAATGCGAAGTTGTCCCCGTGTCTAAGTATTATGCAGTGGAGGTTAAGTTCCACGCATTCTAAACCTTGTTAATACACTGTATTGAGTTTGATAGGAGAATAAGCGCGTCCCGGAAATATTCCAGATGTGGCAATTAGAGGAAGTCCTGTCGCTACTGAAAATCGAATCCCGGTTGTCCAGCCAACATCCGAGCACTTTACTGGCTAAGATATTCCGGTAAAATTGCTATAAATGCATTATATACCTCTCGCTCTGATTATGGAGGCAGCAAGTACCTTTAAAACCTCTATCAAGATGAAAGGTGCAAAAATACAGAATACAGCCATCTTCATACTCGACGTGATAATCTGAAATCTCTCACGTACTTCATTGTTATAACTACGCGTGTTTTAGATAAATCTTTTAAATGCAGCTTCAAAGTAAACAATAACACACTTGAGCTTCTAATTAACACATGACTGTTCGCGCCCTGCTAGAAATATTCAATTACTTTCTCTTTCTTCAGTTGTGGTACTAAACACGTAAGAATGTGACATTGCACATGTTTTATATTATTTAGCGCCTTGGAGCCGCTCTGTGACAGCTTGTAAATACCAAAGAGATCCTCTCTTTGTACGTCCTCACATATGGTTGCCTAGCGACGAAACATCGGTGGATCGTTTTATGCATTATGGTCTCGTAGAAACCAGTTCAGACAAAAAGAATGAAATTGAGAAAACCGAGGAAACAGGAGTTTTATGGTATAGATTACCTGGACATGTAGGTAAAAAGAAAAAGGATTTGTTGCAACATTACGTGTATGGCCTGTGCGTATTTTTCAAAATGTTGTAAAATCAATGGGTCTGGCTCACAAACTCCTGTGACCGGGGTCTTCTTTGACGATTGTACAGGTAAATTGCCAGTAGCCTTTCTTTTATAATATCAGTCCAGCAACCCTTCGCTATTGTCCGAATACTTACCGGTGGCACCGAATGAATGGGAGCTATCGGTTTACTGATGCACTTATACCTAGCAACAGTAGTCACACAAATATCGAATCTCTTGTTTCTTTAAACATGCTCTGACCTCGGAACAAAACGCACCTACACCATTGTCCCTCTTGTTATGGTGTTTCCAGCTTGCGTCTGCTCTACACTCCGGTAAACAAACTCCAAATATGACACAGTCCAATTAACAAAATTTACTGGCACAATAAACCAGCATAAAAGTGTCAAATTTCTCATTTTTGTGAACATATTCATGAGCTGGCGAAGTGCTATTCGAATTCCATCTCCTCCTGCATCTCAGTCTTGCTTTTCTCTTGGATTCGCCTACGAACAGGAAATGGTATCACGCTCTTGCGAACGTGGTGATGAACGTTCGGGTTCCATAAAAGACTGGAGATTTCTTAACTGCCTGTGCGACTACTCGCTTCTCGTGAAAGACTCTACATCATGGAATGTGTAACAGAAACTACCCATACTCGTATACCTCCTCAACATTTTACGAAGGTACGTAAAGGCCTTGGTCAATGCTCCGCGTATTGGCCACGATGCTCGGTAGAGGTGACTGGTCTAGTGTTCACGTTTCGGCTAACCAAGGCAGGGAAATCAGGGCATGATGTCATCCGCGGTGTGAAAAATCCGGTTTTTGTTTGGTGCTTAGTTAAACTTCCGTGAACCTCGGAAAAACGTTTAAGTGGCACGATTCATTAATTTCCCAGCTGTGACGCCGTGTTGCAAAAAAATTCTATCCTCAAGTGCTGTTACCAGTAGGCAGATTTTTACAAGTTGCCCGGAAACTTTAAAATGTCAAGAATGAGAATAGAGGGAAAGTCAAATGCATGAAATGGAGTGAAATGATTCTTCAATTAATATAAATGCGTATTTTACACGAAATGCATATCAAACCTCTGTCTGACTGTATTTCCAAGCAGCTATAGTAATTAGGAAGACAAATACGGGTATGTTGATATGCGTAGGGCTGCTAGTTTACGGAC